ATTACCTGAATCCAGGTAATCCAGGTAATAACAATAATAACAAAATAAACCAAAATGACTCTTTACAAATTCTCAAAAATAAAGTCGCTAATAGGAATTGAACCCGCACCTCCCCACTACACTAACTCTATAATGTGTTGTGCTTTCGCACTGCGCTATTTGTACTTTGTACAAAGGCAAAACAAAACGTCGCTGGTTCAATTCCGCACTGCGTCCGAAAATTTTTGCGCTCTCAATTTCCCTCAAATTTCAGTCAAACTCCGTGGATGGCACACAAAATTCACCGTGCAAACCTTCCGTGGATTCGGCCTCAGCGCCCTATTCGATAACGACAAACCAGCTGGCAAATTTGATGTCAGTTTTTCGGACAAATTTGTCATCCTTTATCTGTTTTGTCAAATTTGTCATTTGTCAAATTTTGTCAAATTTATCAATTGTATAACTCACTTCAAATTCCGCTGCAGCTGCAAGGCCGTAAAGGTGAGGCGCGCATTTGGCCAAACTGCCGCCGTGCGGGCGTGTCGCACTCCAATCTTCGGCCCAAGACGTCCGTCCACGTGCTTTGGCACGCACCCGACACGTTCGCCGAGGGTGCGTGCGTTTGGTTCCGTGCCATCATTATCGCGTCGAGACGCCATTGGTTCGCTGAAGACGGTGAACTTACGAAAAAATTCTGCATTACAGGTCAGTTACAGCCCATACGCCCTGCGGAAATACACCCGGACAAATGGCACCCCACCAAGATAACACCCAAAACTTTCAGAAGGCTACAAGAAGGCGCTGACCGTCGAAGATCACGACGACTCGGGCACGGGGGAATGTTGCGCGTGTGATGAGGCCAAGTACAGTCTCGAGTTCATCGGGTTGTGGTCCAAAGAGACGCATCCAAAGGATTATCCTACCTGTGAGTCTTGGCACTTTTGCCCGTCCTCCACTTTGGCACATCGCCACCCACACCGATGTGGCCCATCGCCACCCACACCAATGTGGCACACCGCCACCCGACCACTGTGGCACATCGTCATGTGCACCATTCTGGCACAGTGCCAGATACCACGCCTCTTCTAAAATAATTCACAAAAATTACACTAAAACAATAGCAAAACTAAACAATAAACACAATAACAATATATAGCAATAATAATAACAAATAATAATAAAATTTCAGTAGAGCATTTAACACATTTCACTGATATGCTAGGCGCAAGCCATAGTCCAAACTACACAATGTGGAAATTCGGTATGATCGCAACCGATGGCATGAAGGAAATTGCCGAATGGGGTAACACCTATAAAGGAGAGCAGGAAATGAAGGAACACGTATGTTACCTCCAAACTCCCTCCCCCCAATTTTTTCCAATTTCAGGTCACCTCAATTCCACCCCCCATTACCCAAATTTCACCTACGCGAACAAAAAAAACCTAAATCAATTTCAGGCCAGTGAGATTCGTACACTGATGAAAATCAAAGGTCTATGGTATCCAGAGGTTCAAGGCCGTACACACAGCTCATTTGTGGTTAACAAGTTAGTAGTACTACTGCTCACACTCAACAAGACTCATTTTCACAAAAATTTCCAGATCTCATAAAAATTTCCATTTTCCATAAGAATTTTCGTAAAAATTTTTAAAAAGGCTAACCTAAAATTCGAACTGTCTGTTGCAGGTACCACCATCTCGCCTCGCTGGCCGCTATGTTCGGTCCATCACCCGACTGGTGTGTAGGTATCTCGTCGGTAAACCTCTGCCTACCCGACTGCACCTGGGTACCCGAGCGTACTTTTGAGCTGCTACCCTTCGATGCGGGCACTGATAATGGGCCGACGTTCATGGTACGTGTGCACTCTTTAAAAAATTGACCTG